TTAGGGTCTTCTTCTTTTATGTTTTCTAATTTTTGTGTAATTTTTTCACTTTGTTTTATCCATTCTGTTGTCTTTCGTTTTTTTTTATCTACTCTTTCTGCTCCTATGTTTTGTTTACATGGTGTTGTGAACCACCAGTGTGTTTTTGTTATTATATGTGGGTATAATTTTACTAAAAATGACATTCCTAATAGCATATCTTTTGTAGTTAATTCAAAGTTATATATTTCCTCTATGGTTAATATCTTATCCCATATTTGTATTTTTATATTTTTTGCCTTATATGTGATCATGCTTCCTTCATTATTAAATCATGTTACTACTATCAAATCAGTAGATATATATATATATATATATATTGTGATATTATTAAGTATTTTTTGTTCAGAAATTACTCATTAGTCAATGATATTATGAGAGTATATATATTTTTGTGGTATCACTAAGGTTTCTTGTTCACACCCTACTCATTAGTCAATGATATTATATTTTTGTGGTATCAATAAGGTTTCTTGTTCACACCCTACTCATTAGTCAATGATATTATATTTTTGTGGTATCAATAAGGTTTCTTGTGCACACCCTACTCATTAGTCAATGAAACTATACGAGTATATATATTGGTGTGGTATCATTAAGGTTTCTTGGTCACACTCTACTCATTATTCAATATAAAAGTGTGTTTCTTTGAAGATGCCTTAGGTTGCTTGCAGCGTATCACAAACATATGCTGAAATAGGTAAGGACATCATAGAGGACAATATCAAAGAACACAAGAAGAAGAAAAAAAGGAGAAATAACAAAAGAGCACGGCAGCTTTCACCAGGTGAAACTAGTAAGACCGAAGAGAAAAAGGCAGATGTCGGGCTAGATGGCATTCATCAGGACGAACATGCCAAAGACACAGAGTCTTCAACGTCTGAAAAGCAGGTTTTGGATGAAAATAAAAGGAATTTTCCTTTTTCTAGTTTTCTTTTGTACCACAGGGAGAAAAGTAAGTACCATACCAGCCATATTACTCTGAAGGTTATTGTTTCATTGATCTAACACTTTTTTCATTGATCTAACACAACATTGTTCTATTACTCAACAAAGAAAGAACATGTGTAATATCAGCACACAAAATCCACAGTGTACTGGTAGGATCATCGGCTAGCTCCAAATATACGAAACTTAGTAAAACAAGACAATATACAAATATAGCCACAACTCATTTGAAATGGTTACAAAATGAGTCAAAACTCATATTACTCATTTAAAAGTAGGTAGTTAAATGGGTAAAAGATGCTCATCCATAAAAGAAAGAAAAGTGGCATTAATACTCTTTTTGAGGTGTAGGTGGTTGGTGTAGGGGTTGGCGGGGAGGATGGGTGGGATAACTAAAAAAATAATATTCTTTTAAAAATAAATTATTTTATTGGGAAGGAGAAGGAAGGGGGGTGGGGGGCTGGTAGGAGGAGTTGGGAGTCAGGGCTGGGGTAGTAAAAAATAATAAAAAAGAAACAAATTTAGATTTTAAAGCGTTGGGGGTTGGGGTGGGGATGGCCAGGTAAGGGCTGATACAAAAAAAAAAAATTAAAAGTTTTTTTTTTTTGTGGAAGGGAAGTGGGGGATGAAGAGTAGGCTAAGAGATTTTGCTTTTGAAGCTTTTAACATGATCCCTATTATAATATGGGTATCCATATTTACTCATATTATGCATTGGGTAACTCATTTTTACCCATTTAAAATATGAGTTGAGTCGAGCATTTTATCCATTTTTATTTGACTCATTTTTTATCGATTAATATTCGACTCGACCCGCTCGTTTTCCACACCTAGCCACAATCATTAACGTCAACATGACTCCATGTCCTCATCATGATTAAACGACCACAACAAATATGCTCAACAACATTACAATAAACAAATTTTGTTAATTGATGGAGAACAATCATATGTACCAAGTGTGATACTCGAGCCAACTAATAAGACATTTTGTACTAAGCATGGTACCCGATCCAATCGATATATGCAGTAGGGATGTTATCAATAACACTCCATATTCTAGAAAGACCAAATTGCAAAATTTCAGAAGTTGCAAGTGCCACCAATGGGGACCACCCACGGACCATAGGTGGGGTCCATGGTTGGCCACCTCCACTCCACCCAGAAATTTCAAAAAGAGTCCAGAACCATGCTAGGACCTACGGACCGTAGGTGGGACCACGGTCTGTGATCCACGTTCGTGGTTCTGACCCCAGTTCCCAACTCTCTAAAGCCAAAAGACGAGATGACAGGAGGTGTCGTAGGTCAATCCACGGTCCATCGGTCAGGCCCGTCGTTGGCCCCGAC